CAAGCCTTGAATCTCCTTGGCAAAGCGCAGGCGCATCTCGCTTAAATCCTTCGCTGTGTTGACATTCATCAAATGACATCGCAAAAAATAATCCATCTTTGACACAAGGCTTTTTCACAGCTTAGCACACCTGGAGGCATCTGACCACGCAGCGACGAGCCCCTGGCCTTTTGTGACTTTTCCAGTTCGTAGCCCTGAGGCGATTTCAAGTCAACAGCAACAGTTTCGGCACAGCTCCACAAAAGAACTCAAAAAGGGTAAATTAAAAAGGGATAGGAGAGGTTGAAAGCTGGAAGGGAAAAAACAAACTACAGTATCCGATCTATCCGCATTCATTGCCAAAGTCATGTGCCTTTCATTGCCTTGTGCTGTCAGCTTGACGGATGTCATGTGATGTCACGTTGCTCTCAAGCGCTGTGTTCAGTTGAAAAGTGGCACCTTGTGCAATGAGAGCTCTTTCAGCTGAACGACCTCTGCAGGGGCATATTATATATATATTATATACATATGTAAACATCTTGCGTCAAATAATAAAATGTAATGTCATGCAATATACAAGTGCAGAGAGAGGAAAAATATAGATGAGATGAAATGATGTGTGAGATAAAACGAGGCGAGACACGACAAGATAAAATGAGATGAGATGACATGAGCAGCACAGAATACTGGTAGCATTGCATGGCATGGAATGGAATAGAGTAGATACTGTAGGGAGATATATAGCCTGACAGGTAAATTGATTGATGGGTGCGTGCATGCATGTGCATGTCTATCTGTCTGTGTGTCTGTCTGCCTGCCTGACTGCCTGCCAGACAGACAGACAGATATTTGGATAGATAGATACATGAATAGATTGGAATGGAATGGTATGGACGCGAATAGAGTAGACGGACAGACACACAGACGGACAGACAGACTGACTAACGAATGGGAACTAAAAATAGGTACAATTCATTCGAGGTACCAGTAGGATCCAGTAGGTGTGTGTATATATAATACCCAGGTATATACTATTGATTACTATTGATCGAATTTAAATATGCAAATCTATCTTTGTCTTGTAGGTTTTGATGTTGGTATCGTGTTTCTGTCATGTCAGAAATCATGAGAATATTTTTCTTTCATGGTTCTGGCCTCCTCCTCGTGATATCGAATTCTGGCATATAAATCCTGCAGAACGGATGTCCATCTCCGGTGCAACGCAAAGCTGATCACATGAAGCTCGAGACGAGTCTTGGAATGCACTTCTATTCTATTCAAAATGAAACATGTCAAAAAAAAAAAAACGATGCAACAACAGGCAAAAGGCATGGCCGATGGAACATCTGTCTTGTCAAAGAAAGCAAAATCACACCTGCTGTAAAAGCAGCCAAGAAGACTCTGAAAGGATCTGAAAGGGCTATCTAATTGACATTAATTGACCTGATTTGACCTGGATCATTTGTTTGGTTCGAAGAGTTCGAAAGGTTGCCAGTGAATCCAAGACGGACAGCGAGCCTTGATCTTCGTGGAGAATGGCTTCAGATCACCACCTCAGACTACGTCACTCTGCCAATATCTGCCAATGCATCACATGGCACGTTGGTGGGATGCGGGGCATCTGAAATGTCTTGACATGCTCTAGCCTCCGTAGCGGCAAGGCTGTCTTGCGTCAAGAACTCCAAAATCCAAACAGGTTTTTCATATTTGTTCTATTCTTTCTCGAGAGCAAAATGCCTGCAGGCATTCAGAGCGCAGCGCAAATTGCACCGGCTCACCACTGCACCAGGCTGCTTCACTGAATCTCTGCATGTATACTCTTATTCCATCGGGTTCCCATATCATCCCATATGGCCATCATCACAATGTTCACATTGTGTTGCATTTGTCTTGGAGGTGGGTACATATTGTTCACAATTCACTTCGATCACTTCGCTGGAAGCCAAGCTTCTGGACTGCGAGCTGAACAAGACTCGATGCTGACAGCGGGTTCAGTGGGAGATTTTTGAGGAGTTCTCGCTGACCTTTCGAAACCCAAAAGACTTGCGGTGCAGGAAAATCATCTTCGCCCACTCGGAGAGAGCTGGCACAAAACGCAGCCGCATCTTCATTGCAATCGCAGCAAACAGCGCCAACTTTGGCGAGGGCATCCATTCCGAAAGGGCCTTTGTTCGGAAGATTCACCGTGAAATCATATTTTTCTGATAAATTTTCTAGGCGTTCACGCTTCTTTTTGGGCTTCTTCAAAGCCTTGCTCATGTCAGGGGGGTCATTCCCCAAGTCAACAGCCACTCGGTCAGCTACTTCTTTCAGCTCTGCACTGTCCTTCGAGTTGTAGAAAACCACAAGCCACTCATTCTTTGCTTTCTCATCTGGGAAATGTTCCTCGCAGAGTGGCACTACTGCATCTTTAACCCTGCTCTTGAAGAGACCTACTGCACATTTTGCACTTCCACCCTTTGTACCTCGATTAGCAGCAATTCCGGTAATCCAGGCTTTCATGGGTTCCGTTTCTCGCGCTCCATTGTATGACTTCCCTTTTCCTGCAATGATGGCCTTGAGTGCTGGGAAGCCACTCACACCATATTTGGAGCAGGTCGCCCTGTCGATGTCACAATCAACTGCTCCTATGCCAATGTTCTTGTCATTTTTCAGCAGCTTGCCCAACTCCTTGAACTTCGGTTCCAGAGCGCGGCAGTGCCCACACCAAGAGGTGTAGAAGACAACCATCCATATTCGAGTTGACTTTGCATCAGGCCAGTGATCTGAACAGAGATTCACCACTGGTGCAGCATAGCTGCCACGACATTTCTTTGAACCCCCAGTGGAGGATTCCACAAGCACGGGCAACCATGCAGCGGCTGCGATGATACTCCACCTCATCCTAATGTGCAAACAAATCGTGGATAGACCCAACAACACCCAACAACAATCTAACATCATCGAATGCAGTATGATGTCTTTGCATTTGTTTGCATCAGCTTGGATGTGTTTGTATACATGTTGTCTAAAAGTTTGGAGCCACGTGGAGCATGTATCTCAAAAATGTCTGAGCCAACAATTTCTGCATAACAAAGGCAGCTGCACTGTAACGTCAAAGTGCTTGGTTTGCGGCTGAGTCTGAGAAAAAAAAAGATGGAACAAGAATGAAAAAGAAAAAATATATAGAACTTTTTTTAAAAAAATAGAAAACTAGAAAACCGATCACGGTGTCACACGTCTCCACAACCAGACTTGAGTTTTCCTGGACCCCGGAGGGGCACTGTGGCAGGATCGCTCAGCTATGCTATGAGGAGAAACACACAGCTTTGGATGGCTTCTGCGATTTGCAAGTGCAGAAAATTGCAGAAAGTTGTTTGTTGACGGATCTTGGACATGTATGGGCTTTGCATGGTTTTGCATGGTTTTGCATGCTTTGGCTGCCGTAGTTGCTTCTCATTCAGGGTATTTTAGGATATCTTAGGATCATTTTCCCCATGAATGTGAGAAGCATTGAAGAACATGGATTGAACCGATTCGGGTTCAATGCTACCTTGCCATTGGGGTAGTTTATCGTATTTTTGCGCCGATAGCAGTCTATCAAAAGCGGAAGTCAGCTAAAAACTTTAGGTCATTTATGGACAGGACGATTATGGACGCTATGCTTCCGCGGGCTCGGGACGACGCTTCCAAACTGAGTGGCCTGTTTGAGGGCATGCTAAGGCTGCGAAGGGCAGGTTGTGCCTGGAAGCCATGTGCTAACCCAGCACATTCCTGTTCAAACACATGCAGGAGTTGCAGCTCTGAGTGTCTTTGAACGCTTTCCGTGTTTGGAACAATTTTCGCATGTCAGTTTTGTCCATGGCACTGCATGCAGTGCGAACATGTTGTAGTTGTAATATGTTGTAATACAGGGCAAGCGCTGCTTTGGTAATTTTGGTATGTGGTGTCGTGCAGGAGCTGTCGTTGTGAGAGTAAGAGACTTGTGATTTGCAACTCCGAGGGTAGCCTGCGGTTCACACTGCTAAATGCGTTGGGGTCACAACTTCCCAGATTGCTGCTGAAGTAAGCTGGAAGTTGCAGCGTTTGCTGCATCTTGTAGCATGAAGATAATGAAGTGAGAATCCGCAAAGTTGCACTCAATCTCGAACTTTATACAAATTGCTTAGAATCTTAGAAGATCTGAGAAGCTGATCCTGGAAAGTTCTGAGGTCAAGGCGAGAAACGCAAAGGATGGCTTTGTTTTTTCCGGCCAATAGCTGCTCTTTTGTGATTCTTTGAAGGAGGCTATTCTGCGGTCCGAAGTCCATAATCGCACTTTCATGGAGGCGCCTCGGATCCACTCTGATCCAGATGGCCCTTGATTCCCTTGATGCTCGTTACTTGTCTAACACTCACAGACTCCTTGTCTCCACGCAATCCTGACGGCCTTCAGAGCTCTCAGCGCCCCGCAGAGCTAGTAGAGTCTTGTCATGGCCTTTCCAGTGCAGCAACAACCATGAAGTTTGAATCAAATTGTTGTTCGTATATGTTCGTATGTAGTACTGTATGTATGTCTCAGTATGACGTTGTATGATTTTGACTGGAGGATATTATGGATATCATGGGTGTATCTTCTTAGCGGATTGACGAAATGCTGACACTTCTTGATGTGCTGGGGGGAAGGCAATTGGACCGAGAGTTGCACCAATTTGCGTCAGGCGTGTTTTCACAGTGAAAACTGGCCTTCATTCCACTCATCTGCTTCAGTTTGATCGGCTTGTGAACTCTGTGTCTCCATCTGCATTCTGGAAACTGTTGCGGCTGCTCACCGAAATGAGCAAACTGCTGGGGCTGGGCATAGACGAAAGTCTCTGAGCCCAAAGCTTTGACAAATAACAGGAGGTGATGCCAAGAATGTAGCACAAACAAACCAAGCACATAATTTTGACTGCAGTCTAATTTGCTTAACATGCTTCCATGCAATGCATAAACTCGAAGTGCACTTGATTGATAGATCATCAATTGCTTGTGCGTGTGGACACTGCAGGATCAATCCCATCCTCGCTCGGGTTGAAATGAGGAACCACCTCAGAGGCCGAACCACGGACCATTGGCAACAAAAAATCAGACACTGCCGTGACATGCTGCAAGTTGCATCGATTGACAGCAAATGGCCTGACTCTTCAGAGTTCGGAACAGCTTTTAGCTTGCTGCCATTCGTCTGGTTGATGATTTCCAGAAGAGTAGCTATGGTAGCTATGTCGTACATGTTGTCATTTCGTGTCAACACATTGGCATCGTGCGAGGAACTAAAAAGAGCATCAGGAGCGATGTGGCCAAGTGCCCCATGTCCTGCATGCGCCACGCCACACATCTTGATTCGCCGCTTTACTTGGCACAGTTTGATATGGTTTGACATGTCTTGACTACGAATGAAGAATCTCTCGTAACTTCAACCTTTGATACTCAGTACTACTTCTTTGCACAGCATCCTGCGCACTTTTTTGGATGTAGTACGGCACGTCGCTACTCTTATACCTCAGCTAAAACTGCAAACGAAAGGTGTGGCAAAAAGGGTCTCAAAGTCTATAAAGCAAAGCTTTGAAAAAATGCACACGCAAGAAGCTGCCGTTTCAACTGTTCCTCATGGATTTGGGTTTCAGATGGTTTCAGAACTTACTGTACAATTCATTTTTCCATATTTTTCTATGTTTCCTCAGCCACAGTAGTCATCGGGGTCAGGGCCGCCATTGAACTACTGTCTTGTGTGCGCCCACATGTTGCAGGAAGTATGAATACGGAGGTCAAAGGGAAGATGGAAGTCTGCAAAGGGAGGGATAAGTCGAAGATTAGTCGAAGAACTCGAGAACAAGCGGAGAAGGAGGGAAGGTATGTAGCTGTGAGATGTTGTGATAGACAGTGATAGATAGGTGAAAGGATCTTGCCAGGACCAACCCATCACGTTTACCTTGACGCAGGTGCAACATGATCAATGAATGGCATGAAGTTGATATGGATGATACTGAAATAATGAGCAGACAAAACGGAGATTATATGACATGATATGAGATGATGATGTTGGTAATAATCGTTATTATGACAAAATGATTGTCTTTTCACTATGATGAATAGCATTGCTGCTATTAGTATGGCCCTGATGGTAACGATGGTGGTGGTGATGATGCTGATGATGATGCTGATAGTGGTCATGGTCACTGGTCACTGGTCACTGGTCATACTAGTAGCCATGATCATGACATGGGCAACAATATGAAGAGAATGCAGGATGGGTACTAGGACGCAACGGAAAACAATGAAGATCAAGAGGAGAATGCAGGATGATGTATGCGTAAAAAATACCGTCCCAAAAATGGAAGCCGTGCAGAACAACTTTAAAAAACAAGAACAGCATAGCGTATGTTCGGACCGGGATTTGAAGCCGCGACCATTTCAAAGTTCCCCCCAAAGTGAAGAATCCCTTCTTAATCGAAAAAACAACCCGACAAAGAAAATATGCCAAAGCATAACTCAGGTAGCTGACGCTACCTTTCGTGAAAAGTTCCGATTTAAATTAAAGGATCCAGCACATGGAAGTTTTCTCATGTATTCTTGCAAATGCAGGGGAAGACACGTTTTCTCTGCCAGCGTGCCACCGACCACATTCATGCATACCCAGCCCAACAGCTGGGACAACCTTGAGGAACAGCATGGATCGTGACCACATGTGACCAGTGATGTCCACGGATTCTTATTGATTTCTGATGATTTGGACGTTTCTGCTTCGATGTGTTTGGACCCTGTTTGGGTCTTCGACACTTTGAGGCCTCTGCCCTGTCCACTTGGCATCTTTCCCTTGGCGCTTCCTGGCGTTAATTGGCCAGGACGTGGCACTCTGACCATTGCCTGGCTAAAATGAAATCAGCACAGCAGATTGCAGCAGAGCCTGCCCCGGCCCTTTACCTGCACAAACAACCTTAGAATAGGTTTCTGGAGAGAAAGGCTGCTTGGATGTTCAAAGACACATGCTGGCTAGAGTTGACTAGAGTTACCTTTCTCATCTGGAAAGCCTGCCATCTTTTTGGTGATTCCTACAGCAAATAATAGAGCCTCGGCGCGCAACATCTGCAAAGTTGTTGCGTTGAGAATACATATGTGTATTGTATTTGTATATACAGTATACAGTATATATATATATGCATGTGTATATATATATATATATCATTGTATATGATAGTATGTATATATATATATATACATGAAAAGATTTACTGTATTATATTACATTCTAAACTTGCAAAGCTATGTGCGTCTATACCTATCTATATCTATCTACATCTATCTAAATCTAGCCATATCGATCTATATCTATCTATCTATCTGTCTATATCTATATCAATTTAAATCTATCTATATCTATCTATGTCTATCTATATCTATCAAATCTATCTATATCTATCAAATCTATCTATATCTATCTATATCTATATCTGAACCTCTATCTCTATCTATCTATCTACCTACCTATCTATCTGTCTGTCTGTCTGTCTATCTATCTATCTATCTGTCTATCTATCTATCTATCTATCTATCTATCTATGTCTTTCTATCTATCTATCTATATCTATATCTATATCTATATCTATATCTATATCTATCTATCTATCTATCTATCTATCTTTTTCTTTCTATCTATCTATCTATGTCTTTCTATCTATCTATGTTTTTCTATCTATCTATCTATCTATCTATCTATCTATGTCTATCTATCTATCTAGCTATCTATCTATCTATCTATCTATGTCTTCCCTATCTATCTATCTATGTCTTTCTTTCTTTCTATCTATCTATCTATGTTTTTCTATCTATCTATCTATCTATCTATCTATCATCTATCTATGTCTTTCTTTCTTTCTTTCTATCTATCTATCTACCAATCTATCTATCTATCTATATCTATATCTTTATCTATATCTGTATCTATATCTACCTATATCATGTATTTATGTCTGTCTGTATGTCTGTATGTCTGTTGGGTGCTTGAGTGTGTTCAATGCTGAGGAAGCAACATGCAAAAGACCGTGACCGCAGAAATGGCCATCCACTGCTGCGGAGAATACCTGTCAAGCCAATTTGAGGTCAAGTTGTGACTCGAACTTGCAGGATCTCCGTTCAGTTTAGTACCTGGTGTTGACTGCATTTCATTTTCTCCCTGGTTACGTCCAGTACATCAACTTGAGATCATTTGAGGCTCTTTGTAAAACATGATTGCGACATGGTGCGTGTGCTTATATGTACGTGTGTATATGTCTGTGTATATCTATGTGTGTGTGTGTGTGTCTCTGTGTGTGTGTGGGTGCGTGCGTGTGCGTGCGTGCGCCTGCGTGCCTGTATGTATGTACGTACGTACGTACGTATGTCTGTATGTGTGTGCGCGTGCAACATCTGAATTGATGCAAAATTTCCTGTCCTGCTTTGCGTTCCCCCCTCCTCCTATATATGAAATTTCTATGCTTAATTTATCACGAGGGGGCCGCTGGGGAACAACGGAGTCAGCGGCCAACGAAGACGCTGTGTTACGTACGTATGTCGTATGTGTGTGCGCGGCAACATCGAATTTTGCAAAATTTCCTGCCTGCTTTGGGAATGCATTTACCTCCTGTGTAACGTACCTGGTGTAGGAGGTAGGTGTACTACGTGCGTATTTACGACGTGCTACGAACATACACCTCCATATGTATACCTATACATACATACATACATACGTACATACGTACGTACGTACATACATACATACATACATACATACATACATACATACATACATACATACATACATAACATACATAACATACATACATACATACATACATACATACATACATACATACATACATACATACATACATACATACATACATACATACATACATACATACATACTACATACATACATACATACATACATACATACATACATACATACATACATACATACATACATACATTACATACATTACATACATTACATACATTACATACATACATACATACATACATACATACATACATACATTACATACATTACATACATTACATACATTACATACATTACATACATTACATACATTACATACATTACATACATTACATACATTACATACGTTACATACATTACATACATTACATACATTACATACATTACATACATTACATACATACATACATACATTACATACATACATACATACATACATAAATACATTACCATACATACATACATACATACATACATACATTACCATACATTACCATACATACATACATACATACATACATACATAAATACACACACACACACACATACATACATACATACATACATACATAACATACATAACATACATAACATACATTACATAATAACATACATTACATACATAACATACATAACATACATTACATAATAACATACATTACATACATACATACATACATACATACACACACATACATACATACATACACACACACAGACATACATACATACATACATACATACATACATACCTTACATACATTACATACATATATATATATATATGTATATGTATATATACATACGTATCTACATATATATATATACATATATACATATTTACATATATATATATACCAATATACATATGTGTATATATATATGTGTGTGTATACATACATACATATCTATATATGTATACATATTTACATATATACATATACAGTCATCCTGGAGTAGATAGAATCCGGTTTCGTAGGGTTGCTTTATATTTTTGAAAAAACCAGCGTTTTTCACCCCAATACTAAACGATGCCTTCGGACCCCCTACATAGAATATTTCCAAAGCTACTCCAGGATGCTGAACATGTTTTTTCTTTCCTTTCCATTTCAAACTTTGTCTCAGAGTACTGTCCCCCTTCACAGGTTTCTTCTCAACAAAACATGACATTGGATGGTAAGATCTTGGGTTCCCTCTTTTCTCATCCCCTTTTCCTTTCACAGCTTTCTTTTGAAAACATGCAAGAATGAACTTTAGATGGGTAGATGTGGACGAAGGGGCAGGGCGCACCACAAACACACGTTTAATTCCAAGCATCCTTTTCAATTGTCAATATTATCATGGCTCTAAAGGATATTCCAGCTATAGTTTTGTGCAGCTGTCCTGGCACAGCACTGGTGAGAATGAACTTTGGATGGTCGATCTTGGATTCAGTCTTTTCCCATCCACTTTTCCTAGCTTGCTTCTCAAACACCTGCAAGACCGAACTTTGGATGGTAAGATCTTATTTTTCTTCTATTTTCCATCCCATTTTCCTTTCAAAAATTCTTTTCAAAAACCTGCAAGAATAAAAATTGGATGGGTAGATGTGGAGGAAGGGGCAGGGCCCACCACAAACACATGCAAAATTCCAAGCATCCTTTCAAATTTTAAGTCTGTTCATGGTTCTAGACTATATTTTGTCTATAGTTTTGCGCAGCTGTCCTGGCACAGCACTGGTGTGAATGAGCTTTGGATGGTAAGATCTTGGTTTCCTTCTTTTCTCATCACATCTTTCCTTTCACAGTTTTCTTTTGACAACCTGCAAGAATGAACTTTGGATGGTAAGATCTTGGATTCCCTCTTTTCTGATCCCCTTTTCCTTTCACAGCTTTCTTTCGAAAAACATGCAAGAATGAACTTTAGATGGGTAGATGTGGACGAAGGGGCAGGGCGCACCACAAACACACGCTTAATTCCAAGCATCCTTTTAAATTTCAGTCTTTTCGTGGCTCTAGAGGATATTCTATCTATAGTTTTGCGCAGCTGTCCTGGCACTGCACTGCTGAGAATGAACTTTGGATGGTCGATTTTGGATTCAATCTTTTCTCATCCCCTTTTCCTAGCTTGCTTCTCAAACACCTGCCAGACCGAACTTCGGATGGTAAGATCTTCTTTTTCTTCTTTTTTCCATCCCATTTTACTTTCAAGAATTCTCTTCAAAAACCTGCAAGAATAAATTTTGGATGGGTAGATGTGGAGGAAGGGGCAGGGCCCACCACAAGCACGCGCGTAATTCTCAGCACCCTTTTAAATTTCAGTCTTTTCATGGCTCTAGAAGATATTCTATCTATAGTTTTGCGCAGCTGTCCTGGCACAGCACTGGTGAGAATGAACTTTGGATGGAAAGATCTTGGGTTCCCTCTTTTCTCATCCCCTTTTCCTTTTCACAGCTTTCTTTTGAAAAACCTGCAAGAATGAACTTTAGATGGGTACATGTGGAGGGAGGGGCAGAGCCCACCACAAACACGCGCGTAATTCTAAGCACCCTTTGAAATGTCAGTCTTTTCATGGCTCTAGAAGATATTCTATCTATAGTTTTGCGCAGCTGTCCTGGCACAGCAATGGGGAGAATGAACTTTGGATGGAAAGATCTTGGGTTCCCTCTTTTCTCATCCCCTTTTCCTTTTCACAGCTTTCTTTTGAAAAACCTGCAAGAATGAACTTTAGATGGGCACATGTGGAGGGAGGGGCAGAGCCCACCACAAACACGCGCGTAATTCTAAGCACCCTTTGAAACGTCAGTCTTTTCATGGCTCTAGAAGATATTCTATCTATAGTTTTGCGCACCTGTCCTGGCACAGCAATGGGGAGAATGAACTTTGGATGGAAAGATCTTGGGTTCCCTCTTTTCTCATCCCCTTTTCCTTTTCACAGCTTTCTTTTGAAAAACCTGCAAGAATGAACTTTAGATGGGTACATGTGGAGGGAGGGGCAGAGCCCACCACAAACACGCGCGTAATTCTAAGCACCCTTTGAAATGTCAGTCTTTTCATGGCTCTAGAAGATATTCTATCTATAGTTTTGCGCAGCTGTCCTGGCACAGCAATGGGGAGAATGAACTTTGGATATTGAAAAGATCTTGGATCCCTTCATTTCTCATCCTGTTTTCCTATCACCGCTTTCTTTTCAAACACCTGCAAGACCGAACTTTGTATGGTAAGATCTTGGATTCCTTCTTTTCTTCTGCCATTTCCTTTCAAAGTTTTCTTCCAAACGCCTCCAAGAATGAACTTTGGATGGGTAGATATGGAGGAAGGGGCGGGGTGCACCACAAATGCACTCTTAAGTCCGAGCAAATGTCACTCTTTTTATGGCTCTAAAACATATTCTATATGTCTATAGTTTTGCGCAGCTGTCCTGGCACAGCAATGGGGAGAATGAACTTTGGATGGTCAAACTTGGATTCCCTCTTTTCTCATGTCCTTTTCCTTTCAAAATTTTACGTTTGAAAAACCTGCAAGAATGAACTTTGGATGGTAGATCTTGAAATACTTCTTTTCTCATCCCATTTTCCTTTCCAAAATTCTTTTGAAAAACCTGCAAGAATAACATTTGGATGGGTAGATGTGGAGGAAGGGGCAGGGCGCACTACAAACACACGCATAATTCCAAGCATCCTTTGAAATTGTCAATCTTATCATGGCTCTAAAGGATATTCCAGCTATAGTTTTGGGCAGCTGTCCTGACACAGCACTGGTGAGAATGACTTTTGGATGGTCGATGTTGGATTCTTTTCATCCCATTTTCCTTTCACAGTTTTTCAAAAACCTGCAAAAATCAAATTTGGATGGTAGATAGTGGATCACAACTTTTCTCGTCACATTTTCCTCTCTTAAGTCCAAGCATCCTTTCAATTTTTAAGTCTTTTCAAGGCTCTAGAGGATATTCTATCTATAGTTTTGCGAAGCTGTCCTGGCACAGCAATGGGGAGAATGAACTTTGGATGGTCGGTCTTGAACTCCTACTTACCGTTGGGGTGGTGACTTTTTTGAACTATACCCATGGCTTCATTGGGATTGACTCTTTGGGATTCCTGGGAAACAACAGCAACATAGCAATTTTCCTTGGAAGATTTCAGGGTGAAATTGGCATGCCAGAACCAAATACAAAAGCATAAAAACAACTTTTTGTGGTCATTCCAGAGGCCCAAACATGCAATCGGGAACCAAATCACAAGCTAAACGGCCCCTTTTGCTTGGAAGATTTTGGGGTGAACTTGGCATGCCAGAACCAAATACACAAGCATTAAAACAACTTTTT